GCCGGTAGTGTGGTGGTAAGCGTGATTATCTCTCACCTCAGCAGGCCTGGGTTCAATCCTAGTCGGCGCCGCCGGGATGTTCTGAGGCATAACATCTCTGATCACGCCTTCCTTCGGGAAGTAAAGCCGTAGGTCCCCGGTTCATGAGTTGATGGGTCGATAGGTAGGGTCCAAGTGTGGGAGCTACCTTCCTGGCGTCGGTAGCATTGGTGCTCAGCACGGAAAACAAGATCGACGGAAAACAAATTGAAATTTTCTGATTATTTAATGGGTCCGACAAAGAGCATCGCTCATACCCTATGATGAGTGTGGCAGGACCAAAATACTTTGAATAAATTTTCTTACTTGAGGAAATGCCAGCTCCCCACCACATTTTGTTGTGGCTTAAATTTGAACCCCAAAAGCTAACCACATTGCATAATTCATCCAAAACATAATTCAAAATGATTAGATTTATCAGCTCTCTAAATTGTTTATCATCCACCTGACTAATTCTTCCAGGACGTTCTTACCTGATCTTTTGACAGTGTTTTTACTGTGACCCTCAAATATTACTGCACATTTGGAAAGTGTAATTTTGCTATAAGAATTGATCCATTGTTTATAATTTGGGTGGCCCAAAATGATTTGGTAAGGGACTATGTTTCGAGACGCTACAACGTTTTGCACTTCTCAACTACACTAGTCAACAAGTACTCACCAAAACGTTTTGAGCTACTCAAATCAGAATCTCTTGATCAATTCTTACAGAAAATGTAACGCACTTTCCAAATCTGCAATAATCTCGAAGACTCTCTCCCTGTCAGCCACATATATCAGCACCGTAGCTCACATGGTTTTGACATTTTTGGATAAACTGACAGTGGTAAAACCATAGAGGTAACTCTTAAAATTGACAAAGGTATGACAGAACGAAACTTCATACTCTTGCATCGCAGCGCTGAATGCTAGAAATAGTAGTCTATGGCAGTCATCATAACCCCTATATTGATTACATTGTTTCGAGCTATGACGAAATTCTTGATTGTTGTCCCCATTTTTGACGTAGGACTACGTCTGTGATTTCTATATGAGGGTACACTTTGTGAAAACCAAAAATGGAACATGTAACAAAAATATGAAAGATTTTGAACGTTAATAACTCAACTGCCCCTGGACCAATTTCAATTACTTTATCACCAATCGATCAGAAATATTTCTACGCATCTGTATATTTTAAAAATTTATCATTTTGAAAATGATTGAAACTATTGAAAATTGCACGAATGTGCAACTGTTGCTATGATAGTTAAAATTATCACCGATTGCCTACGAAAAGCGACTTTCCTAACACAGATTTCAAAGATGAATTCCATCCGGTCTCACCGCGTGGTGAGTGGTGGTGTTCTCCAGTACACAACGAAAGGCTGCCTGCAAGTAGCGAGCTGCAGCCCACATGAGCATCCATAGAAGGAGAAAGAAGCCGCACCGCTATTGATCGGAATCAGTAGCTCTTCGTAAGTCGCTGTGGGCCATCTATGTCAAGCGCGTCATACTAAAGAGTATAAACAGAGAGAACCCCGCTCAAATTCCTATTCCTACACAAAACACAAGCTCCTGCTGCAGTTGACAAATAAGATTTATTATATAAGACCACGTAGTCCTACGTCACCATTGCGTACAACCTCATAGGACTGTCCCTTGTAGTTTTTCAAATGGACTGTAACCTCCGTTTACGAAGTCTTTTTTACGCAGTATTCAATTTACGTCCCTCTTTTTACGAAGTAAATCCCAAATGACGAGATTTTTTTTACGAAGTAAATCCCAAATAACGAGTTTTTTTTTGCGATTTTGGGAAACTGGGAAATACTGTGAAATACCCCACAATATGGGTATTGTTGGAATCGGAGTGACGTGAAGGAACCAGAAGTCCCTGTCTGACACCATTTTGAAATCCAAGATGGCGGCTTCCGGTTACAGAAAAACTTGGAAATTATATCAAATACCCCACCATATGGGTATTTTTGGAATCTGTGAGACGTGTAGGAACCAGAAATCGATGCCTGACGGTATTATTAAATCCAAGATCACCGCTTCAGGTTGGAGAAAAGCTTGGTAAGTCTATCAAATACCCCCACCATATGGGTATTTTTGGAATCGGGGTGACGAGTAGGAACCGGAAATCGATATCTGTCGCCATTTTGATCCAAGGTGGTGGATGGATGTCACCCAGATTAAAAAATACCCATATTGTGGGGTATTTGACAGTATTTCCCAGTTTTTCTCTAACCTGGTGCCACCATCTTGGGTTTCAACATGGGGTTAGACATGGATTTCTGGTTCTCACACGTCATCCCGATTCCAAAAATACCCATATTGTTGGGTATTTAACAGTATTTTTCTGTTTTTCTGTAACCTGAAGTCGCCATCTTTGATTTAAAAATGGCGTCATACATGAATTTCCGGTTCTAACACGTCACTCTCATTCTTAAGATACCCATATTGTAGGTTATGTAACATTATTGTCCCTACACGTCACCCAAATTACAAAAGTACTGATATTGTGGGGTATTTAACAGTATTTTTCTGATTTTCTGTAACTGGAAGCCACCATGTTGAATTGCAAAATGGCGTCAGACAACGATTTACGGTCCCTACACGTCACCCTGATTCCGAAAATACCCATACTGTGGGATATGGGACAATATTTTCCAGTTTTTCTGTAACTGGATGCCGCCATCTTGGATTTCAAAATGGCGTCAGACATGGATTTCCAGCTCCTATATGCCACTCCGATTCCAAAAATAACCATATTGTGGGGTATTTAAGGCATAACATTTGATAACGGCACAAAAGCATTTGTAAACAAACTTTCTAAAAACCCTATACACGCGAACCAAAGTACGCTCACGCAAACCAACAACATCATCGGTTTGGTTCGTAAATGGAGGTTCCAGTGTACTGTACAAAAACCGTAAAAAACAGGAAAAAAAACTGTTGTAACGTCACGTAGGATGTGTCATCTGAATAATTTCCCGAGGTATAATGTTTGAAATCCAAGTCTTGGGCTTCTTACACACTAAGAAATTATTACCGACTTCGATAATTTTTGACCGAACTTGCAACACCTCAACGTTGACCCAACTATGACCCTCATTTAAAAAGATGTTTCACTTAATTTAAATTTCAAAACACTGTCAATCTTGTTTAAATAATCGCCATTTCCATTGTGGTTAAGTTTTCCTTGTTTTGAAGCTTTCAAACTAACGAATTAAAATGCCTGATTTTTATCGAACAGTTCAGATGTTGAAAGTTCGATAAAAATTACCGAAATCGGTAAGAGTGTACAAAGGTGACTTGTCAACTCACAAAAAACAACCACCCTGTACTGGAAGGTTATCATGTTAGCGAAAACGAAATTTGAAGGGAACATCTTGAAGTGGCATTTTTTCTTTTTTCTGTCGCCAATTTTAACGTTTTCTTGATTTTTGCAAAATAATTTTTCTCTTCTTCTGCAAGAGGAGCATTTTCAAAACAAACTTTCGTCAAAACAACCGACCACTAGGGGAACTGCTATAAAATATATTCTGCGTCCAAATTCTACCTGGACCTAACTTTAGTCAAGGTGCCCACTGTTGTAGCGGAGGTGTGACATCTGCTAGCATGTCAAAACATTATGTTGACATTCGCCACACGCCACACGACTTCGTCATGATGTTTGGCCGTGTTGTATAATGCCGCATCACCACCACACCAGTGGCCGCCTGTCCATATGTTTACAATTCAAGTGGTCAAATATTGGCTCTTCATCTTTGTTGTTTTTGGTTTTAATTGGGTTCTTTAATTTCGATAAATTTATCGGTTTTTATACAACATCTGAAAGAACTTCGTTTTCTGAGCACAACTATATTTTTTTCGGATCCATAGATCTTTAAATCAAGATTTAAAGCAAAATGATAACTTCATGGTTCGACACTAAACTAACAAATTGACAGCTCGCTCCCATAAAAAGTCCCAACGAGGGGCGCTAAGAAGGAAATTTTAGCTAATGTGATAACACTTATTTAAAGCAGTTCCATTGTACCAAAAAATTTAACATATTTTTTAAAGTAGATTAAGCATTTACCGCCTCCCTTAGCTCAGTCGGTAAAGGCGCAGCTACAAAGCAAGACCATGCTGGAGGTGGCTGGGTTCAATTCCCGGTCCGGTCTAGGAATTTTTCGGGTTGGAAAATTTCTCGACTTCCCTGGGCATAGAAGTATGATTGGACTTGCCACACAATTATACCAATGCAAAAATGGTACAGGCATCGAAAGCTCTCAATTAATAACTGTGGAAGTGCATCTAGAACACTAAGTTGAGAGCACGCAATAAGCTAATATGCGAAATGCAATAAGCTTGAAATGCGAAGAAGAAGAAGAAGAAGAAGAAGAAGAAGAAGAAGAAGAAGAAGAAGAAGAAGCATTTACCGCAATACCCTTAAAGATCCCAATTTTGAATTATTTTCAGTTACCCTGTACATTTCTAAAACCGAGTCCCATAATCGTCAACACTATGAACTCGGAAATTTGTATTGCGTTGTACGAGAAACGGTGGAAATATGTAATTTTTTAGATATTCCATCAACAGTTCTATGAATTACTTTAAGAAAAATGTATTTTTGAACGATAAAAATTACATTTATAAGTGATTTCTTTTCCAAAAATAAAGAAAATTCATGGAATTTATCGTCATCCACACGGCATTCCATTATTTTCCAATCTCTCTGTCTAACTCGTAATTATGACAGTTGCCCCTCATTATCATGCTGATTGCTTAATGAGAAGACCCTGCTCATAATCTAACCAACCCACAGACCATACAACCATAATCAAGCCTTTAAAAGAGGGGACGAGAAGATCCTAATCAGATTTATTCCGGCTCTAGGATGTAATTAAATTAACCACATTTTTTTTATCCACCTCTCTCCTTCAACCACAGGGCCCCTGGTGTACGTACTACGTCGTCAACGGTAACCTACGACTCCACCAAACAGCATCGACCGTCGCCTACCACGACGACGGAAAATTTGCAACGTCTCATCATTTCCCTGCACGGCTTCATTCTCAGAATCTCAGAATCCTCCATCACGTCGACCAACGCCAACGCGATCGTGAGGGAAGGGCAGAGTAGGCCACACGACTCACCCGGCCCATCAAACCATTATCATCGTCGTCATCGCGGTAAACGACATCTACACGAAAGCTTTTATTGGCGTGCCGGCCACAATTTGACCGCTTACCACGGCAAAAACGGAAACATCCGAAACAACACACAGGAAATAACAAAAAAGAAAAAAAGAAAGCAACAAGCCATGAGCTCTTCAACACTGACCAGCATACTTATGGCGGCCGTCTCGATTTTGAGTATAGTCGCTGCCGGTGAAGCAACTGCCGGTGGAGGAGGAGCTTACGGAGAAACGGACAAAGGTGGCGGAGGAGGACTTCTGGAGGCAACAAGTGCCACCAATTACGATGCTGATTTCAGTGAAAATGGCACTAATTTGCTGGCGATAACTCCATTAGCACTGATGTCCAAGCACGGCGGTACTTCCGGTGGGGCAAAACACCAAGAGGATGTGTCACCGGTTACCCTTTCAACCGAATGGCCACGGCTGGCTCGATTGCTCTTGCTGGCCAGTCTCTCCGTTATCGGGAGCATCGGCAACGTGTTTATGATTTCCTCTGTCATGATTGAAGATCACCTCAAGAAAGCAGGTAAGCACCATCGCTAGACGACGAAGTTTCTCTTTCCATAACCAGTAAACATATAGCGAATTCGATTTGATGCGTGAGTTTTACGGTTTTATGAAAAAAGTTTTCCACCCTAGGATGAGTGATTAGTACTGCTTTTTTTTTCCTTTTTCTTCTAAGAATATTTTCCATTCTCTCTTTCTCACGAAAGTAGCTACTAGATTTCTTCCTTCCTGTCTTGCGAAACGATTTCGAACTAGAACTTTGGTATAACTTCCTTCCTCACTGAACTGCCTTTACCCTTATTCCGCTTGCATCACAATCACGCCACTAGCAGTAGCAGTAGCAGCAGTGCTGCCAAGTAGAGTTAAAAACCATCATTTTCCTCTTCCGCCAGCACTGTCTTCGTTTCCGTCATTCATGTCAAGAAAACTAAATGTTCAACTCTGCCATCATCCACTTCACGCTTTCCGATCTCCTTTATAGCAAATATTGCCGTACAGCCCACGGATTTCAATCTACCTGCCACCTTTCTACCATTTCTAGTCTCACTATACACGTATAAATGTATATTCAAATTTCATTCATAATCATACCGCTCTGAGTCTGAGATTTAATTAACTCAAATTAATTGCTTAATGCTAGGGTGAGCACGGAAACAGCTGAGCGTTGGACCCCATTCATACTACGTTTATCAGGATTATAGACGATGAGTATCATCGTGGGCAGAGCCTATTTTATGTTTATTTATGAAAACAGTTGATCCTATTTATGAAATTTGTCCTCACTATTATAGGTTGAATTTAATTTCCCTTTGAAGGAATAAATTGAAACAAAAAATGTTTAGATATAAATTTCATCAATTTACCATAAAGCAAACCCAAGGGAGTAAGGGACATTAGTTTTAGGTTATGCTCCATTTTCCGAGCATTCCGAGCTGTAAAAAACTAGCTTGTTGTTTGTCGTTCTGATAGCAGGGTTATTCTATAACAGGCCATCTGACAGTTTCAACTGAAAGCCAAAGTCAATTCCGGAAAATGGGACACATTCATTCATTCAATACCAATAATCACGCGTCTCTACCCAATGATTCACAACAGCACCGCGCAAATTTGTTTGTTCTTGAAGAATACGAGAGAACTGTGCCATGTTTGTTGAGAAACATTAATTGGTCTAACTTTTCATGACATCATCGGTTTTTTTTTATAACAATTCAAGTTCCTTTAACTGACCAAACCCCAAGGCTGCAAAATGCGTGTCGATGCCTGTTGACATGGCTGGATCAATCGTTATGATTCAGCCACCATTCGAAAGGCATGGCTATTTACTTTCATTTTGAACAGGTAGAAACCTAATTGGACATAGTTGGCCAACCGGAACGGAAAAAAACGAAAATGTCGCAAGCAAAATGCTTGTCGATTGAAGTTGACATGACTGGTACTCAGCAATTTGGGTACCAAATTTTAAGATTGAGTCACCATTTCAAATGTATGACTATCTACTTTCAAACGGAACAGACAAGGACATTGGATTGTGGTTGGCCAGTCGGAACGGGAAAACCCATGAGAGGTGATTGAGATTGCATACAATCATGAGCATAAAGGAAATATGCCATCACCATATCGATTCTGCTACCGGGTGGCACGAAAATGGTCCTCTGGATATGCGGAATCACCGGGAAAATGGTCATTCCTGAAAGTATACCTAGAGACCCGGGATTTTTGCTGAATTGCATACAATCATGAGCATAGAGGAAATATGCTATCACCATATCGATTCAGTCCTCTTTTCCCTTCCACATCTTGTGTGAGGACGTAGTGTCGCGTGAAGTACTCGTTGCTATTTTCGCATTTTTCGGATTAAATCCGTAATTTTGTAACCATGGCGGACGCCACTGAAGCCTAGGGAGTTAAGAAGAAGCGCGCGTTCCGTAAATTCACCTACCGCGGGGTGGATTTGGACCAGCTGCTGGAAATGAAGCAGGATTTGTTGATGAAGCTGATGCTAAGCGACGGCTGAACCGCGGCACTCGCCGTAAGCCGATGGCTCTCGTTAAGAAGCTCCGCAAAGCTAAGAAGAATGCTCCACCAAACCAAACCAAGCCAGCTATTGTAAAGACCCATCTGCGCAACATGATCATCATAAGACCTTCAACCAGGTAGAAGTCAAGCCAAATCAAATGATCGGCCACTACCTTGGTGACTTCTCGCTGACCTACAAACCCGTCAAGCACGGTAGGCCCGGTATTGGTGCCACCCACAGCTCCCCCCAACAAACAATTTTAGCTGCAGACTAGCTTATACAGGTAAAAGTTAGCTGTATAAGCCAATTTTCGGCTGTATAAGCTAATCTGCAGCTAAAATTGTTAGTTGGGCCGTTTCATTCCACTGAAGTAGGGCGGGCTGAATCAGTGCTTAATGATCTTATTTCTTGTAAGTAGATCGAAGCGAAGGTGATGAAAATACAAAAAGGAATCTACTATCTGGTGGCTAGAAAAAGGTCCTCTGGATATTCGGGATCACCGACAAAATGGTCAATTCCTGAATGTAGACCTAGAGATCCGTGATTTTTTTTTTCTAAATTGCATACAATCTTCAACATAGAGGAAATATTCAATCACCATATAGATTCTGCAACCGAGGAAGGTTGGCTAAAAAAGTAGAAGGGTCAGTGCCTAGGGCCACGAACGGAAGCTTGACGTAGGACCGCTAGTGGACGGAATAAATGTGAAGAGCATTTAGTTCTTTTAATTGATCAATTATCTATTATCTCAACTCTTTCCGTTTTGAATTGGCGTACCAAATTTGTAGTAATTTTTTTTCAAAGAGAAAGTTGATTGTGGCTTGTGGTTCTGAATATGGACCCAACAGGCACAGATAAATTCTATTCCAACTCTTTACTGATATAAGCTTGATGGCCCTGAAAAGAGCCGTTTTATTGTAGAGGATATCCATGGCCACTTACCATTGACGTGTTTAGTGTAGGTGACAGCACCACGGACCTCATTTTCCAGGAACACCTTCAACACACCTCGTAGATCAGACCGGAGACACCGCCACGGCGAGCCAGACGACGGATGGTGGTTATCTTGAAGAACTTTGCGATGACGCTTGGCACGTCCTTTACCAGACCTTTTCCTCCTTTGCCACGACCAGTCAATTGTTGCTTGTTGGGTTATAGAAGAGTGGACTAGCCACCACCTTCCTAATGCTGCTATTGCTGCTCACCACGCCATCTGAAGCGAAAATGAGCTGATACCAGACAGCAGCGCTGCTTTATATCTTTTCAGGTTAAAGCAGAATGATGTGCAACCAAGTGGTATAAAAGATACAAAGACTCCTCCTATCATGAGTAGTTTGCTATCAAGTAGCGACACTGGTTCCTTTCATTTTGCGTACACGGCGAATAATAACGACCCAAATTTGAGTTTACTTCACTCATAATCGCCAAAAGTGCAGGAACTCAGCGATGAGTAAATATGTCTCATGGTTTCCTGGTGACAGATAATCCATTGTTCCAATTTTGACATGTCGTCTCTTTATAAATTCAGGCTCTCGCGTCACTTTTCAATTTGGTCCTATCTACATTGATCGATTCTCTTCATCGACACTCTCCTTCGTAAATAACTCGGCTTCACAAATGTTTCCTGCCGTCTTCGTCGAATTAGATGCTAGGTTGTTGCTTCTTCCATCGAAAATATCCGGCCGTGGCGATTCAAAGTTGATCAGGGTAGATCAACATAATTTGAACCCCTGCTTCCAGTTTGATTACATGAGCATTTTGTGTGATCGTTGGCTCTGAATATGGACAAACAGACAGATGAATTCTATTCCTACTCTTTACTGTAATAAGCTTGGTGGCCCTTAAAAGAGCCGTTTTGTTGCCAAAGTTGGTGATGATTTAACCTCCACAACCAAACAGAGTGCGTCTCTGTCACTTCAAAACGTAGATGACATCCATGGCCGCTTACGCTTGGCGTGTTTAGTGTAGGTGACAGCATCACGGATCTCATTTTTCAGGAACACCTTTAGCACACCTCGTAGATCAGACCGGAGATACGTCAGACACCGCCACGGCGAGCCAGACGACGGATGATGGTTATCTCGAAGAATTTGCGTTTGGTTCTGAATATGGCGATGAGTGTGCAAAATATTACGCAATTCCATCCTCCCTATTCACATGCGCCCGAGGACCGGAGGCGAATGCCACTTTGACTTGTTGACTCGTCTACTTACTACTCTCTGACGACTGTGCTGGGGAAGCAGCATATGCATGTAGGTAGTTGGTGGATTTGTCAGTTAATTCTACGCTTTTGGAAAATGCTGGACATTTACCAGTTTTCCAATAGTTTTTGTTGAAAATCAACATTTGGAAGCATTGTTATCGATGCGTAGCTATATTTCTGATCGATTGGTAATAAGATTATTGAAATTGAACCAGGGGCAGCTGAGTTATTAACGTTCAAAATCGTTCTTAATTTGTTACATGTGCCATTTTCGGTTTTCACAAAGTGTACCCCCATATAGAAATCGAAGACGTAGTCCTACGTCAAAACAGTCATCCAGATATTCAAACTTCAGACAAGTGGAAATTTTCGGGAAGTGGTCCTAGGGCTCTGCGTTTAAAAAATTGTAGCATAGAATTCAGAGCAAAGTGGAAATTTGTCAGCACACGATTGCAAGAAATTCTAGAATTGGTTTTGAAAACTTGAAACTAATGTTCTGCCCGACACCAACTCAGCAGCACGAGACTCCTTGACAACTCCACTCAAGCTTTCAAATTAACTGAAATACAGCACGGATCAACTTAAACACTGAATTTTTGTGTGGTGTTGTGATCGATTTTCTGGCACATACCCTTGATGACGATGGCGACTACGACGACTGCAGAACAGCGAGCGCTCGCTGCGGTTCCGGATTGATCCTGTCGATGGCGGATGATTAAGGGCCGATCTTGTCGGAAAGATGGCGGTACCACCGCTCGGTCGAATTCCGATACAATTCCAACAATGGCGGAAGCGAGGC